AGGTGTGGGGTCCAGGGGGCCCCAGCAGCCTCTGTCCTACCGTGGGGGAGGAGGAGGGGGAGTGCAGGGCTTTGTCCAGATCCACAGAGAAGCATAAAAGAGGGGAAACCCCCAAAGCAACCGAAAACCAGCTCCCCAGCCCCCTTGGAGATGTGCCCCGAGCAGAGGGGCTTTGTGGGGCTGCTGCAGGAGGTACCAGCAGCTTCAGGACCTCCCCCACTCCCCAAGTCGTGTTCAGACTGGGGTTTCCTCAGGAGGATTCTGCTTGGGTGGAATGCCCAAGACACCCCACTGGTCCTGCCAGACCCCTGCCCCCTTCACCCCACGACCACAGAGGGGCTCAGGCCACAGGCTTTGGACCTGGGCACCCCCCCTTGGGGCTGTCCCTGCACAAAACCATAAAATCCAGCAGCTCCCACAAGGTGCCCCACAGGGACAGGCAAGATTTCTCCATGAAAACCCCCAGATTTTATCTCCCCAACTTTCCACCCTCTTCCCCCAGGCTCTCTTCCACCCCTCACTTTTTTTCCCCCCCCCTTTGCAGCACCCCTGAGCTCCATCCCTTCCCAGGCTGTTTGCAGACACCCCTTTGGGGGGCTGTTTCCCAGGAAGTGCAGGATTTCTGTTTAAAAACAACCCCTCAAAGCATTTTTTTTTTGCCAAAGCACACAAGAAAGCAGCGAGGCAGAGGGTGATGCTTTGACCCAAACGTGGCTGGAGGAGTCTGGGCTGGGCAGAGACACCCACTGAAGGGACGTGAGCTCCAGACACAACCTCAGTTGCGACATCTGAGCGTCTGCAGAGCCAGCATGAGTCACAGCCCGAGGAAATGTAACCCTGCATCACGTCCCTCAGCACTTCCCTTTGCTCAATTCTTCTCGGATTTAACCTAAAACCTTTCTGGAGTGGAGGAGGTGCGAGGACAAAGGGATCGGTGGCCAGGTCACGGCTGCTGCCCGGCCAGCTGCAGACGTGCTCGTGATGCAAGGAGCAATAAAAGTTGATTATTAATAAGCTGCTTGGATCCGACCTGTGGCAGCTGCTGGGAAGAGATAAGAAAACTGCAGAGGCAGTGGGAAAAGAGGCCAGGGAGGGGCTCAGAACGTTGGTGGAGATCACCAGGACCCCTCATCTTCCAGCATCGCTCGGTGACTGAGGCTGGGAGGAACGAGGGGGCTCCTGCTCATGCAGCTCCACCTCAGGAGTAAAATGGAGCTGGGATTTTGAGGCTTGGGATTTGGGGGCTTAGGATTTCAGGAGAGCCCAGGAGCTAGAGCAGCTGGTGGGGCTCAGTCACCCCCAACGGCAGGATCACTTTGGGGGGACTGTTGGGGAAAGGTGGTCCCGCTCCCCAGCAGCGTTTGGGCACGGGGGAGAGGCAGGGGCAGGAAATTCCCAATCTGTTCAGCTCCCATTCTTGCCTCCCCTTTGTTCCCCTGCCATCTGTCCCACAGCCCCACACGCCCCACGCTCCCGCCGCACGTGCCATAAATATCAAGACGAGCTTTGTCTCTGCTTCAAAAGGCAGCGTGGACCCCAGACCCCAGCCCTGCCACGGCCCCCAGCCCCCCCCCAGCAGTGGCTGAGGGCTGTCTGGAGGTCTAGGTTTGGGGGGGACAGGCTCAGCATCGCTTTTCTCCCTCCTCCTGCCCCCCCAGCAGGTTTTGGGACCAGCACTAAGAGGGGGTGCATTGGTCTGACACCCCAACCATCTGTAGGATCTAGGAGCACAGCCTTGGGGCTGGACCCCGTCACCCAAGTCCCTGCAAAGGGGAAAAGGAAGAAAAAGGAAAGCTCAGCCTCCTGCACGCTGGCAGAGCTCAGCAGAGACCCCCCCCAGCAGGCTCTGCACCCCTTGGGCTGCACCCCAAAACGGTGCCACAGTCTGCACCAAGCACCCAGACGGGGATTTGCAGGGGGCAGATCCCAACCAGCCCCTCTGCAGAGTCCCCCCCACGGGGCCCTCGTGCTTCGGGGAGCACCAGGACCAGGGGCTCAGCCCCAGTCCAGCATTATACAGACAACAAAGCAGCCAAGGAGTCAGCAGGGGCAGCTGCTCTGCAGCCCCGGCCGTCCCCTCGGCTGCTTTATCCGGTGCTATAATGGGAATCAACTCCCGGCAAAAGGGCATTGTCAGGGAGAAGGGGCCTCGCCCATGCCTGGCAGCTGGGAACGCCGGGACGCGGGGCACAGGGATATTGTTGCCTCCAGCTGGTTCCCAGCCCCAGCCACACATTTCCTGGCAGCTCCCCAGAGGAGCCGCTGTTGGGTTCACACGGGTGTTGTGCTCACACAGGGGCTGTTGTGCTCACACTGGTGGTGTTGTGCTCACACAGGGGGTGTTGTGCTCGCCCGGGTGTTGTTGTGCTCACACGGGGGTTG